TTTGTAAAGGGGGACAATGCTTTAGGAAGGTCCAGAGGGGTGGGGTTCCCAGGTACTTAGCTATGCTGAGACTAAAACTTCCAATGATCAGATCTAAATATACAAGCTGGTGTACACATGTGCACACACATGATCACACATGTATACGCTCTTGGCCTGTGATCCCATGTCTTGATCTAGATATTGTGATATTAGGGGTGCTGAACCACTGAGCGACATTCCCAGCCCTTTCTAAATTTTTATTTTGAGATAGTGAGGTCCTAAGCAACTTAGTGAGACCCTAAGCTGCAGATGCTGGCCTTGAACTTGTGATCCTCCTGCTTCGATCTCCAGAGTCACTGGGATTATAGCTGTGTGCCACCATTCCCAGCTAGGCTTCACCAGTCTTGTCAAGCAAGATTTAAAAAACTTAAAGGCAGGAAGCTGGGTACGGTGAGGCATACCTGCAATCCCAGCTACAGGAAGCTGAGGCAGGAGCTTTGCTTAGGCCCAAGAATTTAAGGCCAGTCTGGGCAACATAATAAGACTAAGACCCTGTCTTTCAAAAAAAAAAAAAAAAAAAGTTTAATTTTAAATTTAAATGCCCCCCCACCCAGTTTTCATCAAGGGACTCATAAAAATATTGACATTCTCTCAAAGAAAAAAATTCGGGAGTCTAAGCCACCTGTGAGCCTTCCTTGAATCCACACTGCCAAAAGCAAACCACCATCCTCATTTCTTATTCTCCTCCATTTCTCCACCTCTGTGGGTCTCAGCCTTGGCTACACATAAGAATCACCCGAGGAGGCAATTCCCAATGCCCAAGCCTCATCTGGATCCAGTAATTAAAGCAGAATCTCTGGGGCGGAACCCAGGCTGCAGTATTTTTATGTCTCTCCCGGCTGATTCCCCTGTACAACCAAGGGTAAGAACTGAGGCACACATGAAGTGAAGGTCAAGAATCCAGAATGAGGGAGACACAGGAGGTGGCCCAGGGAGCCCGAGGGAGCCTGACTGAGGGGCTCACGTCTCCACCCCAAGCATGCCTGGCAAAGACAGCGGGGACTGTCCCATGCTTTTGCCCTAATGACTGCATGCATCTTCTTTGGGCTCGGGCACCTTCTCAGCAGCCTGCAATTCAGCCCCATTGGCTGCAGACTAGAGGGGGGGGTGGGCAGGGCAAGGGGCGACCCAACAGGCTGCTCAGTGAGATGGAACGAGAGCCTTTTGTAAGGAGACGCTGGCTGCGGTGGTTAATTTCTTAATGCTCATCGCGATTCCGTTCACGGGAGACTCTCGGAATGTCTTTATCCATCACACAGGGTTTGGGAAGATGATAAATTAATATCGTTATCAATGGAGGCGCTGCTGAAATGGTCCAAGAGCAAACGTCTTCTTTGCGGACTTTTAAAAAAAAAAAAAGAAAGCGCTCCCAAGTCCATAAAGAGAGACAAATGGTAAACAAAACCTCCTATCTTTTGAAAGATTCCAGGACGAGTATCATTCACAAACCGTTCGGTGGAGAAAAGGGGAGAAATTTATCTCATCTGACTTTGTATAGGACAACGGCCCGCACCATAATGAGGCCGTGCCCGTGCTGTGAAATTGCACTGAATAGCCGGAGAGTGCACAGGCCTGTCCCCTGGGCATGTTTATTACGGCCCTTTGTACGCACCAACCCTGCCAGCCCCACTCTGCTTCTCAACGAGGGGAGGGGAGAAAAGAACCCAACAAATTTGTTGCTATGAAACTTCCCAAATGGGGGAACTGCATAATAACGTGTGGAATCAAATGCCCTTGCTCCAAGCTGTTCTTGTCGGGGTCCACCCCTGCTCTACAGTGAACAAGGTCCTGCGTCAGCCAATCACCAGCCCTGTAGATGGGTGGCCTCGGCCCCCTGCCTGGGCCCCTCTTGGGCCCAGAGAAGTCAGGGATAAAGAGGGCCCCCAACGCCATTCCCAAGCCAACTTGGGAGTCCAGAGCCAGTTGTCCCAATTCCCCTGTGAAATTCATTTGAACCAAAGTGAAGAAGTGTGGCCTTCACTTGAGGGTTCCCTGAGGTCAATCTCAGGAGAAGGGGGCCGAGGCCAGTGTCACACACACCTACAAGGTTTGGATGCCTGTGACAGCAAACTGTCAAAATGCTGGAGGCCAGTAGGCTTCCTCCCAGGGAAGGAAGCATTTCTTCAATCATGTGGCCCTCAGAAAGCAAGGCAGAAAGACCCCCGTGGAGGCGGTGGTGGTGGTGATGGAAGAAGGGAAGGTATTGACAAAGAAACCCTGTGTGAAAATCTTGGGGGTACACACAGCCCCCCAAGCATCTTAACTTCTCCTAAAATTGGTTCCTGCCAAGATCTCTGAGTCTCTTTGTGGTGGGAGATGTCCCTTGGAGGAACTGAAGATTTAAAGTTCCCACATACCCTAAAAGGATGAGTTAGGAAGAGAATAGGGGACAGATGTGGAACTTTCAAGAGCTGTCTTCATTAGGTTGTTGGAAATTTCTGGTCACATTTTTGCTCCTTAATCAGACAGCAGATTTTTTTTCTTCACCAATCAAGAAGGAGGATCCTTTGGGCTATCCTTTTCCTCACCAATCCAGAGACAGAAACCTTGAAGCATTGTCTTTCCTCACCAATCAGGCGGCAGGTTCCTTGAAGCATTGTCTTTCTTCTCCAATCAGGTGGCAGGTTCCTTGAAGCATTGTCTTTCTTCTCCAATCAGGTGGCAGGTTCCTTGAAGCATTGTCTTTCTTCTCCAATCAGGTGGCAGGTTCCTTGAAGCATTGTCTTTCCTCACCAATCAGGCGGCAGGTTCCTTGAAGCATTGTCTTTCTTTTCCAATCAAGACACTGAGAGTCCCGACACCCTGCCTCATTTTCTCAGCAGGATGTGATTGTCTTCTCCCAGGAATTCTTCTCCCAGAGTTCCCATCGAGACCGGGGCAGCTGCTGTCCAGACTGAAAATGCAGACAGCCACCTAGGCTAGCCCTAGCTTTTTAAATCAGGAACAGGGACAGCCCCTCATCTGCCTGCCTCTGTTCCCCCCTAGAAACCAGCAAAGGAAGCTGAGCATTGGTAGCCCTTCCACCAGAGAGGCAGACCCTGGAGAATGAACCTGAACCTTGTGGCTTCCTGGCATCTCTCACTCTGAGCAGTAAGAGGATAAGAAATGTCATGGCCGTTTTCCCTACCCTTGGCAACCGAGGGAAAGGTGGAGATGACCAAGCCTCGTTTCTTCCTGCATCTCCAGGGAACAGACATTTTTGTCCTAACAGCAGAAAACAGCAGGCCAGGATATGAGCAGCGCCCCCTTTCCCTGGGCACAGGGCTGCCCACCTAAGTGGCTGCTATGGGTTAAAACTTCTTGGCTGAATCTCCAAGAAATCTATGTGTCAGCCAGCTGTTTATAAGACCCCTGGCCTCAATTTCTTCTGTAAAAATGAGACAACAAACACTGGGCACAGGCAAAGGAGCTGGATGCCTTCCAACTCTGCACTCAGAAAACCCACAGCCATCTCTCCCTGGTCTTGCCCTGATCATACCTTCCTGACACTGCAGACCCTTCTAGGGTCCCTTTGCCCGGGCCACCTTCCCTTTTCCAAGTCTCCGGGAGGATGCTTACCTGAAATCGTTGTCTTTTTTGATATGGAAACAGCCCAGCTATCTTTCTGCTCAATTTTCTTCTGGCAATCACCAGAGGCCGTTAAGTCCACAGATATGGAGACAGCTTGCTTCATCTTGGAAGCCACCCTTACTCATCTATGTGCATTTGGAATCAAAGGGCTCTCTCCTGGAGGAGACAAACTGGGAACCTGGTGGGGTTTCTGTTTTTGAGAAGAGGGTTCTGCACAAACAGCGCTGGCATCATGCTCAGAAAGATGCATGCTTTGTCAAGCTCTCTGCCCCTGTTGCGAAAGCCTTAATTATTTTTGAGTAAGGGGCCTCTTATTTTCACTTTGCTCTGGGCCCTGCAAATTATGCAGTCAGTTCTGCACACAAGTGCCCAACATCTGGTGGATTTCCTGTGACGAAGATGATACTTCAATCAAAGGCTGAAACCCAGAAGGGTTTCTGTACTGGACTCATGTCTGCCATGGCTTGGGGACCTTCTGTCAGGGTCTACACAAGCCTATGTCAGGACCCCGTGTATGCTGAGCTGTTGGCTGGAGCTCTTGGAGATAAACGTCTTCCTGAGAAGCCATGCTCGCGCCTAGCCCTGGGCCCCATCTTTGGGAGCAAAAGAACCCTGGTTCCTGGAATTCCCAAAAGCTAGCATGGGGGGAGGGTACTTCTCACCCTCCAACATCACTCAGTTCTCTGGCATTTCATCAGCTTCTCTGAGTCATCTGACCATTGCCTCATTTTTGTTGGTGGGAGAAAAACAAACAGCAGAAAGTTAAAACGTTAGTGCTTGCTTCAGTGAGCGAAAATAGAGTCTCCGGTCTCTCTCTCTCTCTCTCTTTTTTTTTTTTTTTGTCCTGAGAAGTAAAGCTATTTGCAAATGGATTAAATGTTCCTTCTGAGACCCTGATCCTGAAACTGCAACCTCTCTGCAACTGTGCGTGTCTATGTGTGTGTGACAGGGGGTGGGGGCCCATGCACACACATCCAAAGAACTGCGTCTGCGTCTGCGTGGGTTTGGGAAAAGAGGGTCCTTTGTCCCGAAGGTAAGCCTGGCGAACATGACTCGCGTCCCTGTGGTATGCAGCACACCTGTGCAGAGGAGAAGCTCAGGAGGGGGGGGGCGTCAGCGGGCCAGCCCTGCACCCTCTTAGGGGATCACACCTTCTCCTTTCTTCTCCTTTGAGCCATGTCTCCATCGCCCCTTTGTTTTGGCTTACACCTTCAAATACCAGGGAGGCTGTGTGTGTGTGTGTGTGTGTGTGTGTGTGTGTGTGTGATGACCTCAGTCTACACTCCTCTGTATGGAAACTAGAAAAAAAAAAAAAAGAAATCACAAAGGAGAAAGAAAGGAAAGAGGTCAAGTTCTGTCCCACCCACCCCCCTCCAAGCGCAGCCTACCTTTGCAGGCCTTCCGGTGGGTGATGGGCTTGCCCATGTCACGGTAGTAGCCCTCCTTGCAGTAGTGACAATGGCGGCCAGCGGTGTTGTGGCGGCAGTTCAGGCAGACGCCTCCACTCTTGCGTCCAGACAGCTTGTAGAGCTCCATATTGAAGCGGCAGCGCCGGGCATGCAGGTTGCAGTTACAGGCTGCAGGAAAGACAGGCAGAGGCTGTGAGCCAACAAGGGTGCTGCGGAGACAGACATCATGGGGACCCAGAGAGACTCTGTTTCCAATTGCCCCCAACTGCCCCCTTCATCTCCACTCCTGATCTCGGGAGGCAGTGTCTCGCCCCGGGAGCTCTTCCCGGGCTTCCTTTGTTTGCACCCGTCAATATGATTGAACACCTCAGGGTACCAGGGCTGAGGCTCCCACCAAATTCTTGTGTACAAGTCCTAACCCCAAGTACCTCAGAATTTGACTATGTTTGAAGACAGGGACTTTAAAGAGGTGAATGAATTAAAATGAGGCCCTTAGGTGGGGGCCCTACTCCAAGGTATTCCTATAAGAAGAGGGAATTTCTCTCTTGAGAGACTCAAGAGGTGTATGTGCATAAAGGAAGGACCAGCTGAGATGCACGGTGGTGCACAAACTGTAATCCCAGCAACTCAGAGGATCACGAGTTCGAGGCCGGCCTGGGCAAATTAGCAAGACCCTGTCTCAAAATAAAAAGGCTAAGGATGTAATTCAGTAGGAGAGTATCCCTGGGTTTAATCCCCAGTACCAGGAAGGCAAGGACATGTGAGCAGGCAGCCACCTGCAAGCCAAGGGGAGAGGCCTTAGGTGAAACCAACCTTGACCTTGGACTTCCGGCCTCCAGAACTGGGAGGAAAAAAATGTGTTTAAGCCCCACAGCCTGAGCATACTCATACACAGCTTCTACGCTGGCAGGCTCCCACTCCCTAGAGGACCCCAGGGCCCAGTGCCCTGTCTTCCCTCCCAACATCAACCCTGTGGGCTTCCCATCTTGTAGAGGCCTGACCATCCCTGGGCTTGGGATCCCCTGCAGAGGACCCTTGGCTTGGTTTTCTCTGGCTTCCTCCCAGCCAGGCTTGCTTCCTTCCACCTACTCCTTATACATGACTCAGGACTTGGCACCCTTCCCCCGCCAGCCCTGATGCCCTCTGAGACCATCTTCTGCCCCCCCTAACCACGTCTGTGCTCCTGACTTAAAAACGGATATTCCCAGCTTGAAGCCTGGGGTCTCCACTTGGATGTAATAGTGCCTCCCTCGTTCACTCCTCTCTACACTGTCCTCCCACCGCCCTGTGTTCTGAGCTGAGGGTTCTGGGTGACCTTTACCACGGTACAGTCAGTCAATCACCCTCCAGATCTGCAGGACCTATAACCCCGGATTCAACAAGTTATAGATCCAAAATATTAAGGGGGGAAACAGCATCTGTACTGAACATGTACTGACTTTATATGTTTATTTTTATAATGAAATTATTATTTCATTATTTTTATTATTATTCCCCAAATAATATAACAGCTATTTACAAACCATTCACATTGTGTTTGGTATGATAAGTCATCTAGGGATGATTTAAAGTATATAGGAAGATATGTATAGGTTCTGGGTAGATACTTCATTTTAGGCACTTGAGCATCTGTGGATGTTGGTTTCCACATCAGGGATTCTCTATGGCTACCCAGGGACGACTGTCACCAGAGCAGGAATTCCTAAGCACCAATCTGAGGATGTCCATCAGGATCAAGTTGAAATCACTTATCATGGCCTTCAAGGGCTCTGAATCAGCCAGTCCTGCCTCCCGTCCAGCTGCAGCTCTGCTCACCTGCCCCCTCCCTCTTCCTGCTTCAGTTGGGCTCAACTTGTTCAGTTTCCAGAGTGAGCCATGTGCAAGGACTCCCCACCTGCCCCCTCCTGGCCTGCAGGTGCTGCTCCTTTCCTCCTTGGACACCCCCTCTTTGTTTGGCTGTGTCCTTCTCATGTTCCAGGTGTCTCGTGACTTCAAGGTCATTTCCAGGCCCATTCCACTGCCCCCCCCCTCAGCCTGGCCCAGGCACCAGCATGGCTCCCATAGAGCCCTCCTCACCACCACCCCCCATACCTGCTCTCCTTGGGCTTCAAATTCTGGGATAACTCCAGCTTGAATCTGACTACTCTGGCTCCTTCTTTGACTTGATCTGTCTTAGATCTGGACTTATGTTAAGTACATTCTAAACCACACCTTTATGGAATTCCTAAAGAAATATATGTATAATGCCACACTCTTGGAAAACAAAATCAGGGAAAAATATACTACTATTTCCACCAACCAGTGTTAACCTAGGGATTTTTGCTTCCAGACTTTCACTAGCTTTGGCTCAAGTGTGGAGCTACTTTTTTTTTTTTTTTCCCTATAAACACAGATGGATCATATCTGTATACCTCTAGATTTTGCAGGGGGTGGTTCCCAGGGATTGAACCCAGGGGCACTTAACCACTGACTGCATCCCCAGCCCTGTTTTGTATTTTATTTAGAGACAGGGTCTCACTGAGTTGGCTCAATGCCTCACTGTTGCTGAGGCTGGCTTTGAACTCACGATCCTCCTGCCTCAGCCTACCGAGCCACTTGGATTACAGGAGTGTACCACTATGCCTAGCCATTCTTCACAACTTTTATATGTTACCTGGTACTGTGTTGGGAATTTCTTGCAATCTAAAATAGATGCATTTAACAGCAGAGTTTCCTAGGGTTGGACAGCTAGGCTGTTTCCAGTTTGTCACTATTATAAATAACACAGGGAGCCAGGCATGGTGGCTCATGTCTATAATCCTAGGGACTTTGGAGGCTGAGGCAGGAGGATTGCAAGTTCAAGGTCCACCCTCAGTCACTTAGCAAGCCCTGTCTAAAAATATAATAAAAAGGGCCTGGGTTGCAGTTCAGCAGTAGAGCACTTGCTTAGCATGTGGAAGGCTCTGGGTTTAATCCCTAGAACTGCAAAAAAATTTAAAAAGAAAAAAAAAATAGCACCATGGTAACAACCTTCGAACACAATGGTAATCACCTTGAACCACCTTGAAACACATTTCTCAAGGCAGAACTGTGAGTCAAAATTTGGGTTCTACATGTTTTTAACTTTGGATCCAAATGGCCCAATTGCTGTCAAGAAAGACTGTGCTGGCTCACTCTCCCAAAAGCAGGATGTGACAGCTCTTGTGTCGCCACACCCTTGAGAAAAATGACAATGCACATTTGTTATAAGTATGCTTCTTTTCTTTAATCTTTGCCAATTTGTCTGGGGGGAAAAAAAAACTCACACATGATTTTCATCTGCATGTCTTTGATTACGAGGGAGGCTGGGCATTTCTCTGAGTGTCTATTTATATTTCCTGAGCGTGCGCCCACATTGCCTGTTCATGCCATTTGCCCAGTTTTCAAATAAGGTGGGGTTTTCTTCGCACTGTCTACAGCTTTTTCACTATTGTATTTAAAAACATTTCTATGATACAAATATTTTGGCCCATTTCTTATTCATATGTTATTTCTATTCCTTATTTGCTTTTAAATTGCCACTTTAATTTTTCTCTGATGTTATAATGCATTCCTTTAAATGCTCTTCCTAGAGTCAGCCCCCCCACCCCCCACCCCCCCGCCATTCCCTCCCTCACTGGTCACTCAATTATCAAGAGGAGACGGAGGATGGCTTTTGGAGGAAGTGCTAAGACAGTTTACACCCTGAAGTGTGGAAGCTGCTGGAGGTCAGATTAGATCAGAGGACACCCCCGACCCCGAAGAGCTTTCCCAAGTGTCCCTCAGCTGGGGTCCCCAAGAACTTAGTTCACCCAGGTGCAATGAAAGAACGCTGGTACCCTGCCCTCCCCATGGGGGATGGTCACACTTAAAGTACATTCATCATTTCTTTGGTCTAACTCAGCTAGATAAGGGGGGCAGGGTGCTGTTCAAGGACATGAAGTGACCAGCTATGGAGCCAGTGAATGGAGGGCCCCAGTTTTCTAGCTGCTGACCCACAGCCCCCAGAGCAAAGTGTCAGATCACTGGAGGTCACAAGCAGGCCTGGACCACAGCCCAGAATCTAGATCTATCCTACAAAGCACAGAAATCCCAGGGCCTGATACACCTGTCGAGGGCCAGGGATCTGGAAGAAGCACCAGGTCTCACTTCCTTTGCCTTTTATATGCCTTGGAGTGGCATCTTTTGGTTCTTTTTGGAGACTGGTTTCATCCTGTGTCCTCCCCTATAAAGGAGGCTCCAGCTGTCCACTGAGGGGAATCAATGGACTTCTGAGCCCCTCCTGGGGACCCTGAGTCCTTCCTGAGCTTCTAAGGGGAAGCCAGAGCTGGAATCTCTCTTCTATATACACCTCACACCAACAAAAGGTTCATCCCAAACAACTGGTCACACAAAAGAGAGCTCTGAGGCCCAACTTCAAAAAGCAGGGCGTCCCCCTCCTTCCCTCCTGCTTCTCGGAGCTGTCAGGGACTTCAAGTGACAATTGCCCACGCTCAGACTTCTGCAAAGTATTTTACAGCTTGTTTTCTTTTCTCTTTGTTTTATTTTCTCTACACAAATGGAAAAATGCATCAGGCGAAGCGGCTCACATCTGGATCCCTCTGCTCTACCCAGAGGTGTCACCCAATCCACCCCCCGGCCTGTCCCAGCTCCTGCCTTGGAGAGATACCTTAATCCTTCGTGCCTTCCTGTTTATCTTCTGCTTCTCTCAGAGGCAAAAAATATTGGGTATTAGTTTCATTATCAGATTTCAAGGCGGGAAGGAAAGGGCAAATTTGTAAGAACTGAGGTCAGCCTGGGAGAGAAGGGGGCAGGGGAAGCAGGGAAACTCCTGAGGACCAGCACAGGCCAGGACAGAGTCCTGCCTGGCCAAGGGGTCCCCCAGCTACCCAGAGAGACTCGCTTCCAGCTATCACACAAGGATCATCAACGATGTACCAGGTGTGGCTACACTTTAGACATAAGGCGTAAGGAGGGATAGGGTGGTGGGCGAGGGGGCCTTCCCAACTCCATGCCAACCCTCTCTGACACAGAGAGGGGACCAAGGAATAGGGTCCTAGAGTCCTCTCCCAGCAGAAGTTCCTCTAAGTCCTACTATAGCACAAATCTATGACCAAGATTCCTTAAGCCTTTCTCAGTCTTCTTCTACAAAACTACAATCGCCCAGCTCC